TTTTGAAAACAAATTAGCCTTGGTTGGGTTTCTCAGGACTTTACAACATCTTCATTGTAACTGAGTTGATAATGGGTCTACTGTAGCCAATTATCATCATCAACTTTGTTGATAACACTAATTGTTTTGTGATACCTGGCACTGACACTTAAAACTAACCCCTTTAAACATTTTATGTCACCTAGTTTTCAACTAAAAGAATGACATAAAAGTATGGGAAATCTTTTTGCCTTTAATTATTGCTTATAAGATAACTAAATTTAATGTTTTCTTAAAAAAAAAAAAAAACAAAAAACAATTAGCCTTGTTTGGGTTTCTTCGGACTTTAGCCTTCTTGCCCTTTACTAGAAATGAATAAGAAATAATAAGTGTTAGTAGTCAGCCTGAGTATAAGTTATTTCAAGGATTCCACTCTTTCCTGAAATAAAAGGAAATTTTATTGATTTGTTATGACTCCAACTGATAGATAGATAGATTAAATTTATTTATACAGGATGACCCCTCAGCTATAGGGGTGGTATCCAGAGGGGCCCTGGTGTTGAAAACTAACAATACTATTGCAGAAATTACTAGTTAAATATAAACTACAAATATATTCACAACATTATAGGAGGTACAATTTAAGATTAAGAAACTTAAAAGCAGCCTTATAGGTACAAAATTTAAAAAGGAAAGTTATAAAAACGAGTAATTTTTAATTTAATGTAAAATTCTACAAGGACTCAGCTTGCTCCACCTGCTGTGAAAGAGCACATTTACTGCTTAAATGTTTCTTAAGTATGGGAATAAGTAAGCATTGCATTCTGACACTACATAGACAGCCAAAACAACACAAGTTCACATTTTCATGACTGCCATTTGAGACAAACTCTCTAAAATCCTCTCCCCTTGTCCATTGTTTATTTTATATATTTCACACAACTTTTTCAGCAGTCTCAAGTTACCTCTCATCTTGTTACTATATCCCTTTGCAAAACTTTATTAGAGCAAATTCTGACAGCAGCCAAAGGACACTCGTCAGCTGGAAATTTTGTGGATCAACAAAATTATATATTTGTTGACATTCATGACGAGTGATCTTGCACCCTGTAAGGTCACTCTTCTTCTCGTAGGTTATGGCCTCTCCATCTGCATAATCTTTTCTTACTAATAGGACTTCCTCTCCAGGAAATGAATGAGGACCTGTCAAACAAAAGAGACACAGATCTCGATGGGATAGCTCATTTGCCAGTGATATTATAACAAAAAGAACCATTTCATTGATAACAGATATAGTTATCTTACTCACATTTGATATCTGTTCCCAAAGTGTGAAGACTTATGGACCTGGAAATTTTCATGAAATTCTCTGGAGACTTCACAAACTCATGCAGGAAACCAGCCTTCCCTGTTACTCCATGCTCAATACTATGACTTGAACATTCATACTGAACACTCTTACTGAAATCAGCACCACTGAGTTCCCACAATTCCACTTTTACTTTATCGGGAATTTCTGACTCTATTGAAGAGAACAAAGTGCAGTCAAGTCTACAAACTTAAAAATATGCAGAAAATGTGATCTATCAGCTATTCACCTTAGCCTGCAAAGGCTCAAAAAAAGTCCTGTCCAATAGCCAAATTTCTATTAATTTAAATCTGAAGATTGTGCAGATTGGCAAGACTGCATTGGAAAACTTTCACAATAACTAGCAAAAAATGTAATGCAATACTCACTTCACTACAGTAATTTCAAACATTAATTCTGTTCCACTTAAGTCTAACTGTAGGTTGACAAAAAAATTAACCAATTCACACCAAAGCTTAAGTGTATTATTAAAGCTGTTTTGTTAAAAGCAGTTTAAAATTAGATAATTTTGTTTCATTGATTTAAACGTCAATGAGCTGATGATGTAAATAGGCCATGGCAGAGAGTTTCTAAGCTGATGTTTCAAGGGTTAACCCTTAATTGGAGTGAATAATGAGCTGCTCAAGCCAATGCTTGTCCTTAAAAAATCCTCTTGTCCGCCGGGCAAGTGAGAGACAGAATCTACCAGCCTAATCTCAAAATCCACTAGCCCATGGCTTACTATACCAACCAATGGGGTTTGTAATGTAAACAATGGTAACTAAATATGAAAATTAAGATATTCAAATAAAAACAGGTTATAATTATTTGAAATACAATTACCAGGTTCACCATCAACCATCATTCTTTTTCCCCCATCAATGCCATATCGGGCTTCAAATTTGAGTTTATAATCCTGTTGGTGGAATACAGGAAAAAATGTCATCACCTGTAATAGACCTTGAATGCCTCAAGATTAGTATATGACAGCAATGGGGATAATCCAGAATCTTTAGGAGA